ATTTGTTATGCTATAAGAAGAACATGCTGATTTGAGCACACAAAGAATGGAACCCAAGAGGTCTGTGAGTATGGGTCTTTCACACTCATTAAAGTAATATAATAATCACCTTTCATGACGGAGACATATGATATATGCCTCGAGCTATAAAATTCTTAAGAGCATCATGAGCTGCAGATTATTAGAAGAACAAATGGACCCAACCATGCAAGAAAGAAAAGAAAACCAGCTGGTTTAAATATTCAGATTGACAAAAATCTGGCCAACTGCCAAATATATCCTTCCCACCCAGAAACCATTTGGATTTTATGGGAGCATAAACAGTCCTTAAACTTCTCTATCATTAACTGATTATCCTATTTGGTGTCTAGAACCTAGAATGTCAGCATCTGAATTTGAACTTGATACGGCTCTGATCATTAACAAGAAACTACACCCTTTGTTTTTCAGCACACTCCAAAAAGTTCACACGGGGAGAAGCATTTCTTGCCATATGGAAACTATCAGTTGTATGTTTTTATTTTACAGTAAGAGTCACTTGGAATCTTCTATTGGTGACTGCCATACTACAGAAAAGGGGGATCATTTTGCTTTGTCCAATCTCAGAGGCTGCATCAGTTTCCATCTAGTTTCAAGGTAGTTTAACAATCCCAACAAATAATTTTGCTGTTATGGCAGATTGGTAGCAATTTGATACATGCGAACATGCATTGCCACAGGGTAGTATTTCTTAACTCAGCATGCATCTCCAGCAGACAAAGGATTTCAGGGCTGATTTTACAGAAAGGGGGCTGTGATATCAAAGAAGGGCACATGAGCGGAAGGTGCTCTATTACCAATATTCTATTAAAGGTCAGTGAGAGTCCTTACATTAGTGCTATAATGTGATCAGAAACTTAATTGAAAGTATTCAAAGAGGTTAGTAATAAAGAGGTGAAGGCAACATGAATTTATTACAGATCACTGAAGGACTTTGGCTAGAAAGAGAAGAAAATAAATATATATCTATTAGAGAGAGAGAGAGAGAGAGAGAGAGAGATATCATTCATTAAAACGTATTGCTGGGTTAAGTGTGAATTTTCCAAGCAAGATTGGGGACAGAGAATTGTAATTGCTTCCAATTCATATTATAACAAATCAAGCATATTCATTTCACTTCCTTTGACATCCATACTCAGTACTTATTCAAAGTTCCATTGACTTAGCTGGAAGGAGGGTTCTTTGAGTAATGGCATCAGGAATTAGAACTAAATCATAGAAAAAAGAAAGGGAGGGTGAACCCGCACAAAAAGCAGATTGCGGGGAACTATCAAGATTCTCACACACAGTAACATCTCAGAAGACTCATGCTTGTTTTTTTTCAGGGCCGGATAGTAATGAAAGCTGGTAAAAAAAAATAATCAAAAATTTAAATGAAGAAAAAATCATGAAGATTCTTGCAAACAGATTGGATACCGCAACACTATTTATTTTTTATTACTATTATCATTCTGCCACATCTCAAAGTTAGAGTAGCCTGAATACCCATAAAACACTGAATATTTCTGTTAACTGGATGATTTGCAACAATGGCGAGAAACAATGGCCAAATATTGCAAAAAACTAAACATCTGAATAGAAATTGCAGTTGCTTCAAACATATTCACAGCCTCTTCTATTAGTTTACAGTGAATATTTATAAGAATTAATATTTGTTCACAAGAATGCAGAAAGAAAAGAATGTTGCAAATACTCATCCAACTCTAGTTGTATAAGTATATATTTCAGCAATGCTTATATGGTCATTCTGATTGTTCATTGTAGGTTTGGGAATTATCCAATCAGTAATCAGGAAACAATACCCTGTGACTTAAGACAAACTGTGATCTATGAAGAACAAATAACAGTCATGGAGAATAATTTGCAAGCAACCCTTAGGCTGAAATGTTTGCTAAACCATTCACTGATTAGTTTTGAATAGCAAACAAATCTAAAAAAGAAAAGGAGTACTTGTGGCACCTTAGAGACTAACCAATTTATTTGAGCATTGGTTAGTCTCTAAGGTGCCACAAGTACTCCTTTTCTTTTTGCGAATACAGACTAACACGGCTGTTCCTCTGAAACAAATCTAAGTCTGTTTGTAGATAATTTGCATTAAGAAACAGGGACTAAATTCACTGAATAAATTGTTCATTGTAAATAGTTCTCCAGTTCTCCTAACAAGTTAAATAACTGCCTGCCAAAAAAAAAGGTCTACCCAAAGAAAGGTTTTTAAAAGCATAGGAACTATAATCCTCTAGTGATAGTCAACCAATGTCCATTGGATTTCAAGTCTCTGATTGTATAAATCAGATTAAGTGTACCATAAATACTTTTGTAGCATCTATGGTAGGTTCTACTAGGGTCAACTGCATAAATCATAAAAAGAAAAGGAGTTCTTGTGGCATCTTAGAGACTAACAAATTTATTAGAGCATAAGCTTTTGTGAGCTACAGCTCACTTCATCGGATGCATACAGTGAAAAATATGTTAAGAACAAGTCTTGTATAATTCTGTTTAACAAACCACTTGAAATGGAATGGTCACAGCAAGAGGACAGTCAAAATGGGGGAAATTGAGGTACAGAGATTAGTAGTGCAGAGTTAAATTCATCCCTGGCAGAACTCCCCAATGAAGTTACTCCAGGGATGATTTTGGCTATTGTTTTTGGTTTCTGAAGGGACGCGAGGAATGGTAGGGTTACATCACGGGAGATAAATAAAAAGGTCAAAAGTAGTCTAATCCTAAAATAACCTGAGTTCAGAAATAATAAAATAAAACAACAATATGTGAATTTATATAACAGTTTACATCTTCAAAGTGCTAAATAAACATTAACTAATTAAGCAACAAGTCAAAGTAATTAGAAGTGCAGGCTTAAGGCTGCTGCTGTGAATAGGGGTTAACTGGTTGAGTGTATGATCTTTAGACAATGTAAGCGTAAAAACAAACAAACAAACAAACATCTACAAACATGAAAGAAGAGATGCAGAGTACATTATGTAGAGCACATTAAAGCTGCTAGCAATAAATTTGTATCTGTCAGTGGAAGGCAAAGATAAAACTCCAGAAATCTCCAAGAGGATTAGGGAAAACAGTAAACAATGGACAGTGAAACACAGACAAAGCTGGGAATGTAACTATAAAGTGTTCAAGGAAATCCCTTGGTGTTAAAGCTTTAACAATGACATTTAAAAGTTGGGCCCCATCCTGCTCCCATAGGAATTCTGTCATTGATGTAAATGAGAGCAGGATCAGGATCTAACATTTAAATGTCACAGCAAGACCACTGCCTCAACGGGGCTTGAAGCTTCTCAGCAAGACAGACCAATTGTGATCTCATTAGAAATATATAGACAACTAGGTAATACCAACTCTTGTGAGAGCAAGCGAATCAGTTTGACGCTAGAAAGTGTGTTCTGATAAATATCCTCGCTAAGAAGCAATCCTTGGTATAGGGAATGGAGCAAGCACTGGCAAGTGTTATACAGAGATAAATGGCACAGAAAGAGGGGTGAAATTCCCATTGATTTCAGTAGCAGCAGGACCTGGCCAAGATGTTAGGAAAAGGGAAAGGTGACTGAACTATTTTGTGGGAAGCAAATCCAAGGTACTTGCACAAGAGAACAGGTCAAGCTAGTTTTACTGGCAGATCTCCAGCAGCCCATTTCACATTCTGTACCAGCTCCTACTCTACTGACTGCTCCTGTCAACACTACAGTACTGGGGTTCTCATATTACAGCTTTACAGTATGAGGGCCTTAAAAGGATATAGCATATGTCCAAAAATGCTGTTGCTAAGATCATCTTCCTTACTCCTTGTTCTGGACGTGACAGCCCTCCTGCTTTGTCCTTTTGCTGGTTCTCACATTCTGAATCAAATTCAAGCTCCCCATCCTGACTTCCAACAAGGCTCTGTGAAACCTGCCCCCAGCCTACACATCCAATTACCAACCCTCAATAATCCTTCCGGACTCTGCTTACCACCAACTCACAGCTTCACCAGGGCTCTTTCCTTTGTGCCCTTTTCCCACTCGCAGGCCTGTACCTTTTCCCACCAGAAATGCCCTCATCGGTGGCACTTTTCCTCCTACAAATCCCTCTTCAGAACATGCTTCTCCCACAAGGCAGAAGTTGTGGCGAATCCCCTAATCCTGAACTTCTTTTTAGAGTAACTTCGACACTTTTTTTTGTAAATAACCTGAGCAGCACTTCAGCCTTTGTCACTGACTGTCTTCATTGAAAACGATGTTGCTTTGAAACAGCTGAGTGTTTCCAAGGTAATTCGTTTTATGCATTCTTTCTTCACCTAATAACCATAACTAGATAAAAAGGCAAATGTACCAAATCAAATGACCAAGTCAACCTATTACTTAAGAGACGGCATATCCTACTATGAGCCTGATTCTCCCTCTAAACCAGACTTCCAGATATCTTTTTACTGGATTACGCAATGGTTTACGTTGGTTGGTCAATAAGAATTTTTCCAAGAGGAAATGACAGTGTAATATATGTGCAGTGTATCAATCCCAGCATACCAAAGACTTTCAAGTGTCTTCTTGTCCTAACGTAGCACAAAAAATAATAGTTTCTAAAGCCAAGTATTACTCAACAATAAACCAATAATGTGAGACATATTTGTAATACAACACTAAACAGAGCATAAAAATCTGTTCACTGGGGCCTGATCCAAAGCCCTTTGAAGTCAGCAAAAAGATTCCTAATGGCTTCAATCAGCTTTGGATCAGGCCCTTGGTGAACTCAGCTATTAGCTCACACTGAAGCTGTGATTGAAATAACTTTGGGGTTTATTTAGTCTCCTCTTTGTGCAAATTTGTGTAATTAACAGCAATGGAAATTATGCATGTGCATGGAAGAATAGACTGAGCCCTGGTCTACACTAGGACTTTAGGTCGAATTTAGCAGCATTAAATCGATGTAAAGCTGCACCCGTCCACACGATGAAGCCCTTTATTTCGACTTAAAGGGCTCTTAAAATCGATTTCCTTACTCCACCCCTGACAAGTGGATTAGCGCTTAAATCGGCCTTGCCGGCTCGAATTTGGGGTACTGTGGACACAATTCGACGGTATTGGCCTCCGGGAGCTATCCCAGAGTGCTCCATTGTGACCGCTCTGGACAGCACTCTCAACTCAGATGCACTGGCCAGGTAGACAGGAAAAGAACCGCGAACTTTTGAATCTCATATCCTGTTTGGCCAGCGTGGCAAGCTGCAGGTGACCATGCAGAGCTCATCAGCAGAGGTGACCATGATGGAGTCCCAGAATCGCAAAAGAGCTCCAGCATGGACCGAATGGGAGGTACGGGATCTGATCGCTGTATGGGGAGAGGAATCCGTGCTATCAGAACTCTGTTCCAGTTTTCGAAATGCCAAAACCTTTGTCAAAATCTCCCAGGGCATGAAGGACAGAGGCCATAACAGGGATCCGAAGCAGCGCCACGTGAAACTGAAGGAGCTGAGGCAAGCCTACCAGAAAACCAGAGAGGCGAACGGCTGCTCCGGGTCAGAGCCCCAAACATGCCGCTTCTATGATGAGCTGCATGCCATTTTAGGGGGTTCAGCCACCACTACCCCAGCCGTGTTGTTTGACTCCTTCAATGGAGATGGAGGCAATACGGAAGCAGGTTTTGGGGACGAAGAAGATGATGATGAGGTTGTAGATAGCTCACAGCAAGCAAGCGGAGAAACCGGTTTTCCCGACAGCCAGGAACTGTTTCTCACCCTGGACCTGGAGCCAGTACCCCCCGAACCCACCCAAGGCTGCCTCCTGGACCCGGCAGGCAGAGAAGGGACCTCCGGTAAGTGTACCTTTTAAAATACTATACATGGTTTAAAAGCAAGCATGTGAAAGGATTACTTTGCCCTGGCATTCGCGGCTCTCCTGGATGTACTCCCAAAGCCTTTGCAAAAGGTTTCTGGGGAGGGCAGCCTTATTGCATCCTTCATGGTAGGACACTTTACCACTCCAGGCCAGTAACACATACTCGGGAATCATTGTAGAACAAAGCATTGCAGTGTATGTTTGCTGGCGTTCAAACAACATCCGTTCTTTATCTCTCTGTGTTATCCTCAGGAGAGTGAGATATCATTCATGGTCACCTGGTTGAAATAGAGTGCTTTTCTTCAGGGGACACTCAGAGGAGCCCATTCCTGCTGGGCTGTTTGCCTGTGGCTAAACAGAAATGTTCCCCGCTGTTAGCCACAGGGAGGGGGGAGGGTTGAGGGGGTAGCCACGCGGTGGGGGGAGGCAAAATGCGACCTTGTAACGAAAGCACATGTGCTATGTATGTAATGTTAACAGCAAGGTTTACCCTGAAAGAGTGTAGCCACTGTTTTATAAAATGTGTCTTTTTAAATACTGCTGTCCCTTTTTTTTTCTCCACCAGCTGCATGTGTTTCAATGATCACAGGATCTTCTCCTTCCCAGAGGCTAGTGAAGCTTAGAAAGAAAAAAAACGCACTTGAGATGAAATGTTCTCCGAGCTCATGCTGTCCTCCCACACTGACAGAGCACAGACGAATGCGTGGAGGCAAATAATGTCAGAGTGCAGGAAAGCACAAAATGACCGGGAGGAGAGGTGGCGGGCTGAAGAGAGTAAGTGGCAGGCTGAAGACAGGGCTGAAGCTCAAATGTGGCGGCAGCGTGATGAGAGGAGGCAGGATTCAATGCTGAGGCTGCTGGAGGACCAAACCAGTATGCTCCAGTGTATGGTTGAGCTGCAGCAAAGGCAGCTGGAGCACAGACTGCCACTACAGCCCCTGTGTAACCAACCGCCCTCCTCCCCAAGTTCCATAGCCTCCACACCCGGGCGCCCAAGAACGCGGTGGGGGGGCCACCAGCCAACCAGCCACTCCGCCACAGAGGATTGCCCCCCCCCCAAAAAAGAAGGCTGTCATTCAATAAATTTTAAAGTTGTAAACTTTTAAAGTGCTGTGTGGCATTTTCCTTCCCTCCTCCACCACCCCTCCTGGGCTACCTTGGTAGTCATCCCCCTATTTGTGTGATGAATGAATAAAGAATGCATGAATGTGAAGCAACAATGACTTTATTGCCTCTGCAAGTGGTGATCGAAGGGAGGAGGGGAGGGTGGTTAGTTTACAGGGAAGTAGAGTGAACCAAGGGGCGGGGGGGTTTCATCAAGGAGAAACAAAGAGAACTTTCACACCATAGCCTGGCCCGTCATGAAACTGGTTTTCAAAGTTTCTCTGATGCGTGCCACGCCCTTCTGTGCTCTTCTAACCGCCCTGGTGTCTGGCTGCGCGTAACCAGCAGTCAGGCGATTTGCCTCAACCTCCCACCCCGCCATAAACGTCTCCCCCTTACTCTCACAGATATCGTGGAGCACACAGCAAGCAGTAATAACAGTGGGAATATTGGTTTCGCTGAGGTCTAAGCGAGTCAGTAAACTGCGCCAGCGTGCATTTAAACGTCCAAATGCACATTCTACCACCATTCTGCACTTGCTCAGCCTGTAGTTGAACAGCTCCTGACCACTGTCCAGGCTGCCTGTGTACGGCTTCATGAGCCATGGCATTAAGGGGTAGGCTGGGTCCCCAAGGATACATATAGGCATTTCAACATCCCCAACAGTTATTTTCTGGTCTGCGAATAAAGTCCCTTCCTGCAGCTTTTGAAACAGACCAGAGTTCCTGAAGATGTGAGAGTCATGTACCTTTCTCGGCCATCCCACGTTGATGTTGGTGAAACGTCCCTTGTGATCCACCAGAGCTTGCAGCACTATTGAAAAGTACCCCTTGCGTTTTATGTACTTGGTGGCTTGGTGCTCCGGTGCCAAGATAGGGATATGGATTCCGTCTGTGGCCCCACCACAGTTAGGGAATCCCATTGCAGCAAAGCCATCCACTATGACCTGCACATTTCCCAGGGTCACTACCCTTGATATCAGCAGATCTTTGATTGCGTGGACTTGCATCACAGCAGCCCCAACAGTAGATTTGCCCACTCCAAATTGATTCTCAGCTAACCGGTAGCTGTCTGGCGTTACAAGCTTCCACAGGGCTATTGCCACTCGCTTCTCAACTGTGAGGGCTGCTCTCATCTTGGTATTCATGCGCCTCAGGGCAGGGGAAAGCAAATCACAAAGTTCCATGAAAGTGCCCTTACGCATGCGAAAGTTTCGCAGCCACTGGGAATCGTCCCAGACCTGCAACACTATGCGGTCCCACCAGTCTGTGCTTGTTTCCCGAGCCCAGAATCAGCGTTCCACAGCATGAACCTGCCCCATTAGCACCATGATGCATGCATTGGCAGGGCCCATGCTTTCAGAGAAATCTGTGTCCATGTCCTGATCACTCACGTGACCGCGCTGACGTCGCCTCCTTGCCCGGTATCGCTTTGCCAGGTTCCGGCGCTGCATATACTGCTGGATAATGCGTGTGGTGTTTAATGTGCTCCTAATTGCCAAAGTGAGCTGAGCGGCCTCCATGCTTGCCTTGGTATGGCGTCCACACAGAAAAAAGGCGCGGAACGATTGTCTGCCGTTGCTCTGACGGAGGGAGGGGCGACTGACAACACGGCTTACAGGGTTGGCTTCAGGGAGCTAAAATCAACAAAGGGGGTGGCTTTACATCAAGGAGTATTTCAGGCAGGACTTCACGGAGGGTTCCAATAAGAAATGGTGCACCTAAGTTATTGTTCTTATTGGAACAAGGAGATTAGCCTGGCCTCTGATTGATACATGGCTAGATTTACCTCACTGCACCTTCTCTGTGAGTGACTGCAGTGTGACCTAGAGGAATGAGTCCCCTAGACGGGGGGGGGCGGGGAGCAAATGAGTACAAAACAAATCTGGTCTATTTCTTGTTTTCATCCACTCCATCTATCTTTTACATCTTTGGCTGGCAGCAGACGGTGCAGAAGGACTGCATGCCATCCACATCTCATGGCTGCTTGGCAGAAGATGGTACAGTATGACTGCTAGCCATCCTCATCTCTTGCCTGCCTGGCAGAAGATGGTACAGTACGACTGCTAGCAATCCGTATCGCCTGCCTGCTCACCATAAGACGGTTCAATAGGACTGACTACAGGACTAAAGAGAATGACCTGGTCAAGTCACTCCAAATTTAGTCCCTGCGCCCATGTCTGCCCAGGCGCTCCCAGCCGACGTGGCCAGGAGCATCTCGGACATGACAAGGACGGCTACCAGTCGTACTGCACCGTCTGCTGCCAGAAGGCAATGGGTTGCTGCTACTGTGTAGCAATGCCGTACCGCGTCTGCCAGCACCCAGGAGACATACGGTGACGGTTACCTGAGCGGGCTCCATGCTTGCCGTGGTATGGCGTCTGCACAGGTAACTGAGGAAAAAAGGCGCGAAACGATTGTCTGCCCTTGCTTTCACGGAGGGAGGGAGGGAAGGGGGGCCTGACGATATGTACCCAGAACCACTCGCGACAATGTTTTAGCCCCATCAGGCATTGGGATCTCAACCCAGAATTCCAATGGGCAGCGGAGACTGCGGGAACTGTGGGATAGCTATCCACAGTGCAACGCTCCGGAAGTCGACTCTAGCCTCGGTACTGTGGAAGCACTCCGCCGAGTTAATGCACTTAATGCACTTAGAGCATTTTCTGTGGGGGGACACACACTCGAATATATAAAACCGATTTCTAAAAAACCGACTTCTATAAATTCGACCTTATTCCGTAGTGTAGACATACCCTGAGCCATAAAGCAGAGAATTCACTTTTATTCAAGTGCAGAAGAATAAAATAGTTTGGCTGACTAAAACAAAGTACCATCAGTTAGGAAGGGTAAAAGCCTGTAGAGTTGTACACTGTTCACTAATGGACTCATAGGGTATGTCTACACTGTAATTAAATACCTGTGGCTGGCCAGTATCAGCTGACTCAGGCTTATGGGGCTTGAGCTATGCGATCATTTAATTGTGATGTAGACATTGAGGCTCAGGCTGGAGCCAGGGCTCTGGGACCTCACGCCATAAGGCCCATTCCACCAATGGGGAGTTATCCAGAGTGCAGTAGTGCTCCAGCCACACCCGCTTTTTCTAGCCACACCCCCACAGTGTGAACTGATAGGGGGATGGTGGAGAGCCAACACAGTTGTAGAAATACGCAAGGGGTCTGATGCACCAAGTTTTCAGGTCGTTTTTGCCACCAGAGGGCTGCAGAGGATCTACCTCCCACCCCCCTCCTGGGGGTGTCAGAACTCATTTATACATAGTCATTAAATTCTGAAGTCCCCCAACCACTACATATGTTGAAATTGCTCAGACACTGTGTCAAGGTTCCTTCCCCACTCTAGGGTACAGATGTGGGGACCTGCATAAAAACCTCCTAAACTTACTTTTACCAGCTTAGGTTAAAACTTCCCCAAGGTACAAACTATTTTACCTTTTGCCCTTGGACTTTCGCTGCCACCACCAAACGTCCAACCGGTATTATTATTATTAGGAAAGAGTCCGTTTGGAAACGTCTTTCCCCCCCCAAATCCTCCCAAATCTTACACCCCCTTTCCTGGGGAAGGTTTGATAAAAATACTCACCAATTTGCATAGGTGACCACAGACCCAAACCCTTGGATCTTAAGAACAATGAAAAAGCATTCAGTTTCTTAAAAGAAGAATTTTCATACAAGAAAAAGTAAAAAGAATCACCTCTGTAAAATCAGGATGGTAAATACCTTACAGGGTAATTAGATTCAAAACACAGAGAATCCCTCTAGGCAAAACCTTAAGTTACAAAAAGACACAAAACCAGGAATATCCATTCCATTCAGCTTATTTTCTCAGCCATTCAAAGAAACCAGAATCTAACGCATATCTAGCTAGATTACTTACTAAGTTCTAAGACGCCATTCCTGTTCTGTCCCCGGCAAAAGCAACACACAGACAGACCTAGACCCTTTGTTTCTGCCCCCCTCCAGCTTTGAAAGTATTTTGTCTCCTCATTATGACACACTGGACTATAGCTAGAGGCTGAACAGGGCCAGCTCCAGGCACCAGCTTTCCAAGCAGGTGCTTGGGGCGGCATTCAGAATGGGGCAGCAGTCCGTGTGCTGCGGCGGCAATTCGGCGGCGGCTTTTGGGCTCTTCCGGGTGCAGTGGCAATTCGGTGCTGGCGGCAATTCAGCAGCGACTGCTTTGGGTGGCAAAATTGGTAGAGCCGCCCCTGGGGCTGAAGCAAATCATTTAAAACTCTGTCACCTCAACCATCAGACAGGCACATCAAGGCTATAGTGCTATCAAGTAGTTCTGGAGACTCAGTACACCAAGAAACTAGAAGGGTTGAGTGTCACCAGAACACCAAGAGACACACTAAGTGAGTGGTGTTGTGCTCTGATGGACAGACCACAAGGCTGGAATCCAGAAACTCCTGAGCTCTACTGTTTACTCTTCCACTGACTCACATTTTAGCCTTGGAGAAGTCATTGAGGGCTTGGATCCTGCATCCACTGAAGTCAGTGACAAAGCTCCCCTTGACTTCAGTGAGGCAGGATCACTCTGTGGCCATCTTATTTTTCAGGGATGATGCACAGATTAATATTTGAACAGTGTTTTGAAGATTTAAAGCACTATGGTTATCATCCTACAGCCCTTACTCATGCTAGGTAATTTTTCTCATGGGACTCGTGCCACTGGCTCTATCGTCATTATTATTCATAACACAACCAGTATTATTCATAATATATCCAGTTTTCTGACACATATTCTTATGACTTCAAAATTGGGACAATGTTGTCAACACATTTTACATACTGAATACAAAGGCAATAGGTTTAACCAAAGAGGTGCCGTAACAAATGTATGGGAAATATTTTTCTCATAGATGCACACTTACGTCAAATGCTTTGCAGGTATTAGTC